ATATATATATATATATATATATATTTTGTGTGTGTAAAATTTTATAGAATAATCAATTTAATATAATAAGGTATCAAATGATTGAAATACTTATGGAATTACTAGTTATATATATGTTACTTTTAAAATTTATTGATGACTTTAATTAACATTTGAAATTTAAAAGAAAAAAATAAATGACACTAAATTTGCAAAATGCTTATTTTGTATTATAAAATTATTTCATATATCAATAGGATGAAAAATATATTAGATGAATTTTATATTTATTGAAAATAATAGTATAATACATGATTAAAAAAATATAGCAATAATGTACTATTATAAAAAAAAATTTCTCATATCTATGTGAGATTCCTTTTCCTTTTCTTTTTTTCCCGGACTCTCTTTCACTCTCTTCTCACTCAATTCTCATTTTCTCCTCACTCACACTCTTCTCTTTCATTTTTGCTGGTTGTGCTCTCATTGTCCTTGTGGTAACCTTGTATTGAAGGTGCTGAGTAGATGATTGTTCTTCCGGAGCCGTGCCGTGCGGAGCTTCTCATTCTTTCACTTCTCTTCTCCATTTCTTCCTCTTCCTGGAGCTCGGAATCTTTGACCGAGGTAAGGGAAGTTAGTTTTCTTGTTGTGTTTTGGCTGAAAATGGGTCTAAGAACTCATTTGGTTGCTTATGAGTGTTGATTTCTAGCTGATCGGGTGAAAATTTGAGTTTTTGGGGTCTTTGGGGTTTTTGAGGAAATTCTTGGTTTTCTTTGATTGGTGGATGCATGTGTAAAAAGAAGTTGTTTTTGAATTCTTGGATGAAAATGTGGTACTTTGGTTGGATTGCGTGTGCTGGAAAGTGGATTTTTGCAGTTTGTTGGGAAAATTTTTGAAACTTGGTGAAGTTGCTGCTGAGTTTCGCGCTGAGCGCCGTTCTTCGCGCTGGGCGCGTGGCCACCAAGGGACTCCATTTGGCCAAGCAAGCCGGGCGTAATGATGAGTGCGCTGGGCGCGCTTGAGAATGTGGGTCTCTGGCTGGCCCGCGCTGGGTGTGATTTGGACCGCGCTGGGCGCGATACCAGTTCGACTCTAGTGGACACTCTTTGGGGGTGGTTCCTTTAGGCTTTTGTTGTGCTGAACTCTGTGTTGTGCTGTCTTGCTGTGTTGTTTGCTGTGCTGATTGCTGTGATGATTTGCTATGT